CCTAAACCTTAAACCCTAAATCTCAGATCCGGGCCTCGTAAGTCTGCAGTGGGGGAGTCTCTGGGAGACCCCGCGAGGCATCCTCCGCCAGGATCGCGACTGCTCAAATGAGTCTACAGGGAACCCAAGGTCTGGGTTTAGGGTTTTAGGGTTTAGTCGGAGAGAAAAGGAATATTTGACCTATAATAGTCTAAACTCCTTAGAGTGGTTATATAGGGTACTATAAAGGGGAGGATTATAGTAATAGGGGTCATTAAGGGGGATACTAGGAGTTTAGACTGTAGCTCATATGCAGCCTGGTGTGTATATTCCTATTAACTTGTTTCATCAGGGACTATGGTCTCCCCAAATAAAACACTAGGTTTTAGGGTGTCGGGCTACCCTGTATAAACCATACATCCCTACATAATGGATGAATGACCGGACGCTGTCCCAAAGACACGTGCCCACAACGGGGTCAAACAGGTAGGTGTGAGCTGGGCAGGCCACCACGACCTGGCTGGATGCAAAGCTCTGACTACTGACTCCTCATGGGATACGCTTCTGAAATTGTAACTTCAGATTCCTTTTTGGGTGTTTAATATGATAAGCTTGCATTATCTTTCAAAGTACCGTGTTCCTTAATGAAGTTTGGCAGTAACAAAGGTTAAAACTATGTTCAACTTTGACCCTGATAAGGCAGCTCCGTTCAAGGGCAAAACAGTGCTGGTCTGAAAGCGTGCTTTCCATCCCAAGACCCTATGTTTAGGGTTTAGGGTTTAGGGTCGTGGAAATGCCCGCCAGTCTTTTGAATACATAGCCGCATTTTCCTGCCATAGCAAGCGAGGGGGTTTCCAACCATTGGGGGTACCAGCTTGTCAGGATTGCAAAATATTTGGGCTTATATTGGGGCCTCCTGATTAATGGAAACTACCATGTTAAACCTCAATCATACTCTGTAACGACGAGACAGCAGCACCCCAGCATCGAGCTCGGATAGGTCCTGCTTTAGGCAGGGTTGCTGCCACAAGGCTCGGATGTCTGAGCAACCACCTTTTCTGAGTCCAACACTCAAATCGGTGTCTTGTGTTGGGGTATGACCGTATCGGTTGATGGCTTATCACGGGACGTTCGGAGGCTTGAGGACGAGAGTTCCAGCCTACTAAAAGGCCATTACAAAGGCATACAACAACATCTACAAATTCCTTGGCACGGGCGGGTGCTTTAAAGTTGGAGAGTTCAACCGAATAACGGGACGGTCAACAAAAAGGAGAGTCGCAAGGGATGGGTTATTGCGGTTATTCTTGTCTTTGAAGGGCGATCATGCAAGGAATGTGTCTGGCATCTATCCATGAATGCCTTGCAGCCCTCGACATCAAAGCAACGATAATCCAAAATTCTTGCCGTTCATATGAGGTACAGCCAATGTTTCCGCAGATGATCAATTTGATCAATGGACATTATTGGGGACTATACTAAACGTCAAGGGGGATCCCTATGTCCACTGTTGAAGGTGCTGTAGTAAGCCCAATATTGACAGCTGCTCATATAATCCCTGTAAGCCCCTAACTAATCCCAAATTTTCCATATCATTTTCCACGTTCTTCTCCATTTTATTTTCCATTGCCGTAGGTTCTATTTTCCTTTCCGTTTCCTAGTATCTACTATGGTCCCTGTACCAACGCGGAGCAAGGACTTGGCGTTCTCAGGCAGAAGCTCCTCGATATCCCCCCCGAGTAAATCGATGCCAGCATGGGGACAGCTCCGGTCGAATGATAGCCACTTCCCATCCCGGTGCCTGGCGAATCGGGGAGGCTTATTGGGTTTCTGGATATGGTTTTGGGTTGGTTTAAGTTGCTGGGTTCCTTGTCAGGCTTCAATTCTCTGTACTTTGGATGGGCACCAGCTGTCGGGTAAATTGGTGTGGGGCGCTAAATCCTAAACCCTAAACCCTAAACCCATCATGCCCACCATCTGCTAACTCTGCTTCTGATGATGCCTCAAAGTATTCGCCCCCGCCCCAGCCCTGAAAGAACGTTTCCCTGCGCGAAGAAAAAGTAGAGGAGCCCCAATATAGGCATCATTGTTTCAATAATTCTTGTCGCCACTGTTATAGTGGGTTGGGAGATCAAGCAACCTTTCCTAGCTTATCCCACATAGTGAATTGTGATGCTCAACCCGCATAAGTAGCTGCAATCAAGCCAGCTCCACAAAACACAAGCTGTGCGGCCTTCGTCCAACTCAAATGTCAGCACATCCCAACCTGAGCCGGGGTTGCAGCTTAGGGATCAGGGCGTAGGGTTTAAGGCTTATACAGGGTTTAGAACTTCGGGCTTAGAATCTAGAGTTACGATGCCCCCCCCCTCCATCTGCCCACGCCAAATGCCCGCTCATCGGAAAGCTGTGTATAACAGTGTTTTGGTGGCTGTGGATGTGGTCCAAGTGAAATGTTATTATGGGTGCTGGCATGGGTTCACTTGTTTTGGATGCGGTCGTGGTGAACGTTCTCATGTGTCTGGGCACGCATGCGCTAGTATCTTGTTTCGCTGCAAAGAGCAAAATCTTGCAGTTGTGGCAGTATCTATATGGATGCTATGACCGTGGCTGCGCACGTAACATGAAGGCGCTGCGGGCAAATAGAGGGGGTGAGGGTAGAGTTAGGGATATAGTTTTGTGTTAAAGGGGAGGTTAGGCTTCAGTGTCAGATACGGCTTAACTTGGGGAATGCCGCGGCACAGTGACTTAAACGAGCACTTACAACGCCGCGGACACAGTGTTGCTGCACTTTTGCAAGAAATCCTCAGTTGTGGACACCCTACACCCTCTGTTGCCCCTTCCAACCCTACAGACCCCAGCAAAGGGAGCCCACACGACAGCACACGTTCCAGAACCGAATTCCAGCGGGCCTGCATCATGAGAATAGTCCCGAAAATACCGCGAGGAAGGAAGTAATCACGCTATCCCTAAAGTCTAAGATTCGGAGCCATCGTCTAAACTCCGAGTATCCCCCTTGATAACCCCTATAAGTGTCTCCCATATAGCCCTTTTTAGTTTAGACTCTCGCTCAGAGATTTTTAAGCAATGAACGACAAGGCCTGAAGCCTAAACCCTGAGAGAAAAATCTCTCGGCCCCTACTAAGCCTAGAAGCCATATGCCCTACCTAGACCTCCCAGATACATGAGTTTAAGGTTTAGGGTTTAGGGATAAGCTCTACCTAGACCTCCCAAATACATGAGTTCAAGGTTTAGAGTTTAGGGACAAGCCCTGCCCAGACCTCCCAAGTGCCCTTAAATGCCAATGATTTAGGTAGGTCCTGCGTAAACGCCTAAATTACTACTAGTATCATCTGGAGGTCTACTTGCGGTGCCCTATACCATATCTACACAGGGCAGCCGGGACCACAATAATGGCATTTACTTGGGCTCCTACATCTTCCTCAACCCTAAACCCTAAACCCTAAAACCCTAAACCCCAAACTCTAAAACCCCCAAAACTAAAACCCCAAAAACTAAAACCCTAAACCTCAAGCCTCAAACCCCAAACCCTAGAATCCTAAACCTTAAACCCTAAACCCTAACATCTAACCTGAGGCCTTCGCCGCACGGTCCCTGACCCATCTCGGACCTGCCAGTGCAGACAAATCGCCGTGCTTCCAAAAAAAACAGGGATCCTTTGAACTACATGGGTTCAAGGTTTAGGGTTGAGGGTTTAAACGGTTCAGAGTTTAGCGGTTTACAAAGGTTGTATAGAGGTAAACTGTCCGGATACGTAGGGCTTAGGGATTAGGATTTCGGGCCTGACCTGGGATCCTCCAAAGCCTCCAGGACTGGCTGCCTCCTCCAGGCCTCCAGGCACCTGGAGCAGCCTTTTTGGGGCCTACGGGCCTCCAGAAGTTTCCAGAACTTCAATCAGCCCTAAATCCCTAAAACCAAAAGAACATACTGGCCCCCATTTAACGCTGAAACATACATATAAATCGAAGGTTTAGGGGTGTAGGGATTTAGGCTTCAGGGGGCTACTTTGAGGAACTCCCAGCTGTCAATCAAGGACCTCCCCAAACAGGAGTTCAATCTGCCAGGTGCGTCTGTCTCCAAGAAGCAAGATGCATGATCACCATGAGCTTTTTCTTATGGGTTGCCGTGCCGCTCTTGGTGACTTAATGCGGGAAGTGCCCGATTGTAGCTGAACTCTTGTAAAGGCCTTTCCGCACTGCGTTCATGCAAGGGTCTATGAGAGCAATGATCGCTGAAACATCCCATATGAGCTCCAAACTCCTAGAATCCACCTTAACATCCCCTTTTGTTGTCCCCGTTAAAACCGCCCATATAGCCCTCCTTTAAGGAGTTCAGACGATAGCTCATATCAAAGCGTGGCCCCTTGGATAAGAGCTCCGAAATCAAGCCTGATGGTGATCAGATATAGGGGGGGCGGAGGGGGGGGGGTTTCCGAAAACTAGGGCTCCCTTTTTGCACTCCCTGTGCATTGGGATCAGTAATAGGCCCCCCTCGCAAGTTTTTGATGCACTTGAACGATGTGTGCCAGCTGCGCCACTTTGAAGCGTCACCTGCGAGATGCGAGCGACGATCAAAGCCCTTCACATTTGCAAATACACTTACTTGTGGTTAGTAGGGAGTAAGGGAATATAATCCCTACAAAGCCCATGTGCAATATATTCCCTTATTCCCTACTAACCCCTAGTAAGTACAGGAGGCCGTACCTCCCACGGAGCTTCCTTGGACCAAGCCGCTGGCTTCTCGTCTTCAAGGATTGCCCACCTCCGATTCTCTTCCTCATAGGTGGTGGAAAGAAGGGGCCATTCTACGTCTCATCTTGTCTTTCAGAACTTCGGCTGCTTGGCAAGCTCTCTGCTTACCTGCAGGCAAGATCCTTCAAAATGTGGTCTGCTGGGACAACTTGTGGCTTTGGAGGTAGGCCTTTGAAAGACAGCTCAAATCGAAATTCATCAAATTGTCAAGACTCAAAGAGTTAACGAGTTTAGGGCTCAAGATGTGTGAGAGTTCTGGGTTTCGGCTATACCTCCCCCCTATTACTGAAAGGCTGCCACTTGTGCGTCCTTTTTTTTATGTTCACACATGCGGACTCATACCGATGTCGGTGTTTTCTGACTGTCTGTTCCCGTCGAGCCCTAAACCCTACCCCAAATCGCAAGAGTGCTGATGACTCTTGAGCTCAGCACATCACAGAACTACTCAAAAGGCGGCTCAGCGCCGCCGGAATCCTTTGCCCAAGCAGGAGTGTCCTTAGGTTGCTCACTTAGCCTCTTGTTGGGTTTAGGGTTTAGGGTTTTAGGGTTTCTGGTTTTAGGGTTTTAGGGTTTAGGGTTTTAGGGTTTTAGGATTTTAGGGTTTAGAGTTTGAGGATTTTAGGGTTTAGGGGTTAGGGGAACGAAAGCATGGATCCCGATCATAATCCCTATGTACTCCCATACAACAGCCGATGCCCTTATTCCCTTCGAACACGAGGCAGGTTTCCAGGTTTAGATCATCATCCAGCAATGCTGGGGCTTGATAAACAGCGAAACACTACGAAATGGCTGTGTGTCATGTAGCCTCAAAATGCAGCCAAACCCTAAACCCTTAACCCTGACAAGGGATCCATCATCCGGAGAAACAAATTATGTGTGAACCGACTGCGCCACTGGGAAGGTATAGGGTTTAGGGCCTAGGTTTCAGGCTTGCGAACAATCCAGGCCTCCTCTACCGTTCACAAACCCTGCTACATCTCAATGAAAGGACTAGATGACTAGACATACCCAGGAAAACCACTCCCATACGTACTGTAGAAGCCTGAGTGATCATTGACATCACTCCCTTAAATGTCTACATTATCAGGACCCCCCACCCTGTAATAGTGGTAGAATAGGGATATAAGAGGACCCTAATATAATCCCTAGTATCCCCTGTAGCCGCTATTACTGGGTGGGGGGTCCACCTAATGTCTACAGCATAAACCACACCAAAAGACTATGCTAAGTGTTCCGGCCCTGATGAAGTGCCAGACCCTGGACGGCCCAAAATGACAACTCTGACACTTGTTGCATTCGAGGGGCCGAGCAGGGGCGCCTGAGTCTAAACCCTAAACCCTAAGCATGGTTTTCTGACTGGTTCCTGTTAGTTCTGATGTTCTTTTTGTTAGTCGTCACAATAAGGTAATCTAAACACATCTTGGGAGTATTTTGATGGCGCAGTGATTTGAAGAAAGTCACATTCCGCTGTTTTCCCACGCAAGTTGAAAAGGAGACCCCTACCAAAAGTCCACCTTAGGTCCAACAGTTGGAAAATACTCCTTCCTGGCACTCCTGTCATGTCTAGACAGATGGGTATTCAAGAAAGCGGGCTCCTGTCATGAACTCACCAAGTCAAGAGGCCCCAAGCAAGCAGGTAATACCCAATAGTTCCTCATAAATCGTTTATAGATCGCGCTACTGAATGTTTGGTAGTATACCTTAGGAGGACCCCCCACCCTGTAATAGTGGTATAATAAGAATATAAGAGGACCCTCATATAATCCCTATTATCCATTATAGTCACTATTACTGGGTGGGGGGTCCACCTAAAGTATACCTACCTGGATCTCAAGAATGATGCTCATGAGCTCGGATCGCATGCAGCCCAGAAGCATTGTTTGTTGGTGACGGTGGCCTCCACAGAGGGTTTCTTCATGGTATGGGTTTAGGGTTTAGGGTTTAGGGGGGTTTGGGGTGTAGGATATTTGAGCTTTAGGTTTGGGGTAAGGCGTTTGGGTGTAGGGTTTAGGTTTTGTAGGGGG